GGAGAAGGAGAAGGAGAAGGAGAAGGAGAAGGAGAAGGAGAAGGAGAAGGAGAAGGAGAAGGAGAAGGAGAAGGAGAAAGAGAAGGAAAAGGAAAAGGAGGAGAACATTGCTGAGCTCGCCTGGGGTCAGGATTTGCTCCCTGGGTGGATTTCTCGTCCCTTTGGGATACTTTGGAGGTTTGTGGGGATTGCACAGATCCTGGGCTGCTCCTGGGTGAATTCCCTGTGGGAACCCCTCAGGATGAGCTCGCTGGGAGCAGGGACAGGTCAGAGCACTGGTGGGATGCTGGTTTTTCCCTGCTGTCTCCATTCTCTCCCCTGAACCTCCCCTGGGTGTTCCCCTCGTGTCCTGCAGGCCTCTCCCAGAAGAGACGGGGATGGAGTCGCTGGGGAGCCCCACGGAAGACGAGACCACGTCCTGTAAGTACCAACCTTGCCCAGAACCTGCAGGAAACCGAGGCAAAGGGGAGCTGGCAGGGAGGGAAAAAACCTTGCATCCCCCACAATAAAACATTCCTCAGGTGGGAGAAGAAACCAGCAGGGATTTGAAGTTTTTCACCTTTCCTGAAGAGCTGGGGGAGGAAATTGGGATCTCAGGGGTGTCCCAGTGATCCCAGTGCCTCCCAGTCCTGCCCCACCCCCCTGAGGGTCCCAGGCCCATATTCCATGCTGGAATTCCCCCCATCCTGCTGCTGATGTCGTGCTCTGTGCATCCCTGGCCGTTGTTTTTCCTTTGAACCGCAGCTCCCCCCAACACGCTGAATTTCAACGGCGCCCATCGCAAGAGGAAGACGCTGGTGGCTCCCGAGATCAACATTTCCCTGGACCAGAGCGAGGGCTCCATCCTCTCTGACGACTTCCTGGACACCCCAGATGATCTGGACATCAACGTGGATGACATTGAAACTCCCGATGAGACAGATTCCCTGGAATTCCTGGGCAACGGGAACGAACTGGAATGGGAAGGTAAAAGGTTCTGGGGGAGCATTTCCAGGGTTGGGGTGGATTTTAAAGGAGCTGAGGGGGATTTAAAAATCATTTCTGTCACATTTGAGTGAGATGAAAACTCATAAATTCGCTGCGGGTGCTCAGAGCATCACCCAGACCTGTCCCCACATTCACGGCACAACTTTGTCCCTTTCCCAGATGACACCCCCGTGGCCACGGCCAAGAACATGCCCGGGGACAGCGCTGACCTGTTCGGGGACGGGGCCACCGAGGATGGCAGTGCCACCAACGGGCGGCTCTGGAGAACGGTCATCATCGGCGAGCAGGAGCACAGGATCGACCTGCAGATGATCAAACCCTACATGAGGGTGGTGACACACGGGGGTGAGCCTGGGGAGCCCAGAGCCCGGCTCCTGAGGGGGTTGGTCCCTCTGTGTCCCTCTTTGTCCCACTGTGTCCCTCTGGGTCCCTCTGTGTTGCAGTGCCACTCTGTGCCACTCTGTGTCACTCTGTGTCACTCTGTGCCACACTGTGTCCCTCTGTGCCACTCTGTGTCACACTGTGTCCCTCTGTGCCACTCTGTGTCACTCTGTGTCCCTCTGTGTCCCTCTGTGTCACAGTGTCACAGTGTCACTCTGTGCCACTCTGTGCCACTCTGTGTCACTCTGTGTCCCTCTGTGTCCCTCTGTGCCACTCTGTGTCACTCTGTGCCACTCTGTGTCCCTCTGTGTCACTCTGTGCCACTCTGTGTCCGACTGTGCCACTCTGTGTCCCTCTGTGCCACTCTGTGTCACACTGTGTCCCTCTGTGCCACTCTGTGTCACTCTGTGCCACACTGTGTCCCTCTGTGC